TTCAACTTATTGCAAGTTTAAGAATACGTGGAGTTTAACTATCATGAAGCCCATCCATCGTCAATGAGGCATGGTGGCTGGGGACAAGAATTACACATATTGGCAAGATTCTTTTTAAAATCCCTTTTATTTTAAACTGTCTCAATGCAAGTAGTTGCTAAATCTGACAAATGTTCATAGCGAACACAGTGAACTTATTTTGTAATAGTAATGATACTAACGTGTCCAGGGAATTCCCTGTACCTTGCAAATAAGGTAAATGGAAATCGGCACATGTATATTAATCTTACCATCTCTCTTTAAAATTTTCATAGTTTCCCAGTCCCTTTAAGACATTAAACTTATTCACAAATACTGTACCATGATATTTCAAATATAAATAAAATTAATTCCAGCATCATGGCTAGAAAAAAATAATGTCAAGTTCTTTTAAACTTACAGAAATCTGTAACTCAATAGCACTCAACATTTCTAGATGGAAAAGCAAACACAAAATAATTTACACCAAAATGTACAGTCGCTTTCACTACGAAAGAGAAGAGGATTCCATTTATAATTCAAAATAAAGAGTTCAACCCATTTCTCACAAACATTTAGAAAATAAATCATGTACAACTTAATAAAATTTTCTTGGGTGATCAGCCGCGTCAGATGGCGAAACGATGAAACCGACGTTTCAGGGACCACCTCTGTCCCCATCATCAGGGTTCTGATGTGACCAGAGGATGTGGTTGTCTCCCATATATACCTGCCCGGCCAGCGCTCATGGCCGGACCCTAGCCAATCACAGCTGGTGGGCGGAGTCAGGAGCTGGTGCTCTGTGGCCCTGCTCTCCATTTTCGTAAAGCCTGAACTGCTTGAGCATTCCTGTTACTGGATACCAGGAGCGAGTCAGAGCGTAGCCTCCGTCTCTATTGAAGTTGTTGGGATGCAGGTTGATCTCTATTGCTTGTTTTACCAGACGGTCCACGTATCCTGAAGTTTTCCCCAGAATCTTGAGGATGTCAAAGTCGACGTTGTGTCCCACTTCTACGCTGTGCTACGCCACGTGGCCGACCAAGTCGTATGTGTCTCCTGCATTCTTTACATCTGGTTCTGCCAGTAAATTTGCAGACAGTAACTCGGAAGAGGCAGTAGTCTGAACATTGCTTTATAACAACAGCTTTTGTGCTGCGTTGCAAATGGGAAAAAGACTCGTGTGTTTTCCTGTGTTGCGAATTTGTATCAGTAAATTTATCAAAGTGTGTATTTGTGTAACGTGAATTCTGAATGAACAAATACACTTAAAAAGATCACCACGACCTCTACCAACTGTAAACTGATTATTATTTTCCTCCGTGTTGCATCACCTAAATCCCTGAATCTGCAATAACAAATCCAATCAGAAAATACGAGCAAGTCCAACGAAGAGCTGGTGTATAACCAGATCATAGGTGGACTACATGGATACCAACCACTGGTGAGTCACCTCCAGCAGATGTGCCCGTGCTCTGAAGCATGTCCAGTTCCAAACAGAAATGCAACAGACACTGGCCCAAAACGTAAACATCAGGATGCATAAATATATATTTTGAACGGCTACGTGTAATGTGTTCAAACACATTTTACTGAAATTGTACATAGCAAGCGTAAATATATTAAATTATTCAGAAACTTTAAGTATTTACTTTATTTATTTACAATGTGGACATCTTGTGGTACCTGCCATAATTTTTTTCTTAACTTCATATTTTTATTACCTGAAATCATATTAAACATGTTGTGGCATATACTTTGTAAGTATCAATGCTTTGTATTAAAATAATTTACCATCTAAAATCAAAGAATATCTTGCAACACACATAGAAAATCATAAATCAATAGCTAAAAGGACGTACTAAATATTTTAAAATGTGGTAATTCACGATGTTAAAAAATTATATTACAAGTTTCACTTAACCCCACATTTCAAAAACAAGTATCACAATCTCAGTTCTCATATAAATTGTAGCAATGTGTACATATATACGTAAGTGGGCGTGGCCATGTATGCATTCAAGTACGTTTTCCTCTTGGTTAACCATTTTCAAGAACATTTTTTAATATTACTGGCCACACCTATTCACCTTCTATGGTCTAAATATCTATTACTGTTATTACGAAATTGTTTAAAATTAATTTACATATTTCTACATCAATTTTTGTTTTCGGCACAGTGTAAATATCCATTTAAAATTATTTATCAAGTGGATCAATGTTTACTCATATATTATTCAAATAAATGTTAAAATGTAGGAGCCTTAAATGATCATGCATGTAATCTATGTTAACAACAAAAACAATGATCTTTAAATAACCAAGTACAATCTGCAAAATTAGTAAGTTAACGGAGAAAAATTATTACTTAGTTCGCTCTTCAAGTATGACATTCATCCTGACATTTTTCTTGTAATGCTGGTATAAATTATAGTGACACTGCTAAACATTTAGGTTAAATTAAAAAAACAAAAATTCAGCACATAATTTTAAATTCTATGTAATTCCAAAAAAATTTTTATTCATAACCTTTTTCGATAAAATTATTTCGGTTCAAGGGTTTCATAAAATTCTTCCTGGTTTGTGAGTAACTATAGTTTGAGTTTTCAATTCACTACACAAAATAAAATTCAAACAGAAATCAGTACACCGAGTGAAGAATAAAAGCTTTTACTCAGTTACTTTCTTCTATGTATTACACGTTATAAATTGTCTGCCGAGTATCAACATAACCTATCAAAATTACAATATCGCAAGAGATTTAAATGCTATTATTTTTAAATGATATTCTTGACAGGCAAAGACGCATTATGAATTGTTTAATTTTCAAAAGTTAAAGCAAAGATGTTGACGGCAGTACATCATCAAAGAAACAATTACTTGGAACGTTGTAGCTATTAAGATACGGCTTGCCATGCGCACACGCGTTGCCGAGTGATGCACGTTTGGGACTGTAGCTGTGAATTATACTCGTCCACGAAAAAATTATCAGGATGAATGTTTTAATCCAACGGTTAAATCAAAAATTTCAAATGCTGATGCAACATTTAAGTTTTAGATACAATTTTATGGGTATCAACATTAAGATATACAATCACTACTTTCTTGTTTCATCTTATCAGCATTACAGAAGCATTTAAAAACATTGAAATCAAGCATGACATAACCACACTTTAAATAAAAGAAGCAGTATTCTCGGACAGCGTTGCTTGAAGTATAGAATTCTACAGTGAAGCGTAAGCGTAGTAAGAATTTGCACTCAGAACTATGTCCCAAGTACAGGCAGCGCTTACCTTCATAAAGCGATTTTTAAAATGAAACTGCATCGAAATAACAAAGACTCTGAGTAATATGTCTGCAACTTAAATTAAGAATAGAAGAAACAGACAAATAAAACCTGATAGTAAAGTAAGCACGAGTTTCTGTTACTTCGGTGAAAAATGTAACAATTCTAAAGCATTAAAAAAAATGTATACCTTGATGTAATTACAATTTCATGTTTTGTAAGGAAGATGCGTTGCACTTCTGCGTTAAAACATTTTTGACATTACCATCAAAGTTGGATTTATATTTTTTATCTGAATTAGATTAGTTCCGTCATCTAATATCGCCCTATGCCCGACAGAATCGTTTTAAATTACATCAAACGCAGCCCCGCAAACGCAACACATCCTCCCGCATACTTCACGCAACATGTGACGGTGCTCTCCAGGGTCATGTGTATCCATCCATCCATCCATCCATCTCAAGGTGGTTTCTCTTAATGATCTGTGCCGCTGTTCAAACTGTTGAGGAGGTCATCTTCATTGTTATTCCTGATACTCCACTTGCGCTTGTGTTGGTCCAAACCAAAACCTTCTTCATAGTTTCCTTTTGCAATAAACAACTGCTTGAAGTGAGGAATGCAATAAAGTTTGCCATTATTCAGCGTGTACGTTTCCATCCTGAAGATAAGAAAATTCACACTGCTATCAAGTACTCTCTTTGATGAAAGACTCTTAGGTTACAAGCCGCATCAGGTGGCCGAATGGTGAATAAACCATATCTTCTGCCAACGTTTCGAGAACAATCTCTGCTCTCATCCTCAGGGCTGCTGGGTAACAAATACGATTCTTTGTCGTGCACTCGTGGATGGGAAACTGGCGGTGGACGGCAGGTAGTATGGTGTTGCCGTTAGCGAGCATGCGACAAAGATTCGGATTTGTTACCCAGCAGCCCTGAGGATGAGAGCAGAGATTTTTCTCGAAACGTTGGCAGAAGACATGTAACCCGAGAGTCTTTCATCGACTTCAGTCGCCGTGAAAGCTTCACTTTATACATAATTACACTCTTTGTTCCAGTTCAGATCTTTATGTAAATAAGTCAATGTTGTTATTGTAAAATTTATGGGAAGATTTCGATTCAAAAATGATCATTAAATGGCTAAAATTTAATAGAACACAAAGTGGTCTATTTATAGGTATTATTCTATTAGTAAAATGTCCACAAAATGATTATAATGGTCTGAAGAGACAAGTGTTTGATATTATTTGTGACCAATGACAGAATATGCAGCCATAGCTGGCGGAAGGGAAGTTCGAAGACAATGTTGAGCACGACAGAAGTCACAGGGAACAGAACACTGCACTTCCTGTGACTCAGCTGGCACTGCAGTTTATTCAAGTTACACAGCCTCAAATGTGTCTGTCATACTGCTCTCTACTGTTGGCGACTGTAATCTTGAGACTTGCAAGGGATGCAGGAAGTCCGATGCGTTAACGGCTGGGCATAGCAGGCGCTATCCTTCCTCCTTCACCTCGCAAGTCTCAAGATTACAGTCGCGAACATGTTTCATTTTTAAGATCTGGGATAGACTTTCATACCTGAGTATGCAATTGCACTGGAGACACCTAAAGCACTGCTTATGGAACGGTTTGCCCCCCGTCTCCACTTTCTCAAGCGGGTACACTTTCTTCTCACATACCGAGCAAAATTCCGCACATGTTGTTTGAATTTCCTACAAGAGAAAAACCACAACATAACATTCAGGTCTTTCTTCATATTTTAAGGTAACAAATATGAAAGAGGCACTCTAAAAATCAGAACTCATTTCAAGATGTCTTCTACAATAATCCAGTATGTTTCTTAAAATTCAACAAGATAAGAAATCAGATGAATCCAAACCGAAACATGGATCACCATGAACAAGAAGTAGATTAGGTTCTGTCACGTTCCTCTGATATTCAATTCACCATCTCTGTAAATATGACCGTCTTCTGGGGTGCAGTAATGTGTAGTCTGGTAGAAATTTGTCAACGTTTCGGAGGTGTTTGCTGCCTCCATCATCAGGACAGGAGTCAGGAAGCACCTCTGTAACACTGGTAATCCTTTACCACACTACGTGGCGTACCATACCAGAAGCGAGACATCACCATGACAGACGGAAATCTCTCACGAATTATCTGCTCTCAGTAGGACATTTAATCTATTAGTATTTAATGATCCTTTTATCGTGCTACGTTGCAGCAGACACATTTCAGTTATACAGAACCATCCTCATTCACCACACGTTCCCAGGACTGCAATAAGACAGAGCACAAAATATAACAGTAAGGGCAAAGAAACAAGAAATGCCAAACAATATTTGCAAAAAACACAGGCACATACGCAACACAAACAACTGAATGAAACACACACCTTGCAAAATCCTTATTTGCATTATCAAATTTGGACGTATTTAGCATAAACATTGTCTCCTTTGAGGGCACGTTCTCAATAAGGGAAACGATCGAGACAGGTTGTCTTGATAGATGATCTAGCTTGGTTATTTGTTTTTAGTTTAATTTTTGATATTATTTTGTTCATTGTATTTCTTTAGCATTTTTACATTTATATTAGTGTTTATGTAGGTGGATTATTTGCTCTAATTTATTTCTATTTTTGTATCATACTGCTTTTTATTTTGTGTTCGTCGGTATTTGTCTGTTATATTTAATAAGGTACATGTATATATATTCATTTAATCTGTTTGTTTTTTGTATTTGTAATATTTTTATTATTTTTATTATTATTACTATGTATAATCAGTGTTTGCCTGTTATTGGTTTCTTGCTGTTGGCAAACACTTAAATAAATAAATTGAAAAATTTATGAGACTTGGCTACCACAAAATGTGGTTTAAACCTTGAGGTAATGACTGCGTACGTATAAAGCTCCTCACTGAAATACTTAGTAATGTGAAGTACAAAATATGTCTTAGTAGTAATGTGGTTAACTAACACACAGTTCACAAAGAAACACTCCGAAGTGTTGCCTGATATTATTATAAACACTGATAATATGATATATTCTGTAGTAGTGGAACATGAACGCACTGAAGTATAACAAGTACACAGCGCTGTACATAAAATTAAATTACAGAATAAATAAATAATGTAAACTACATTAAATTTGGTGTCGGCGGTGCCCGAATTTATAACTTGTGTTGGGCAAGGCCGTGGTCTAGGCAACACGGAGTTTTCCTCCGTGGCATCCCAACAATTACTCCATTCACACACAGAAGAAGGCAATGGCAAACCACTTCTGGATCATCTGCCAAGAACGTATATGAACAGGTCCCAGTCCGAGAAAAGGATGGAAGGATCCTGTTCATATGTCGTCAGACAGAACACTACAAATAAAAAAAATATAAAGAAATACACAAATAGCATTTTATTAAACCACGATTATCTCTGAATTGATATACAGCACTGAAATATGGGAAATGGCAAAGGAAGATATAGACAGTGGAAACAATGAATAAAAAAACAACTAGAAACACTGCGTCAAAGAAATGGAGGATGGATGATTACCAAAAATGAGATGCAGGGATCCAAGATCTTGCAGACAGCATGGGCCTAAAGGCCGAGTCAACAAAGCTGAAGAATAAGAATAAGAAATAGATTTATAGGTTATGTATTGTTACTGCGAAAAACAACATTAATTTTTCAGAAATATTTTTGAGTCCAAAATTTTATTTCGTTCTAAGTTTTACACATGATAAAACAGCAGACATAGAAAACATTTGGGAAACATTACAAATAAGAGAAACAAAAAAATACATATTTTACAAACTATTATTTTTGGCTTTCTTGCTTCTCAGTGACTGAACAATGTTTCAGTATTTTTGGCACTTTTCATCAGTCCCATGTTTTCAGGTTTGTCAATACACACAAAGTGGCAGGATCTGACCCGTTTCCCGTCATTGTTACGTATAGCAGCAGCGTGCTTTTCGGTCCAGGTAGTCGTATCTCCAGTCATGATAAGCTGATCGTTTCTTAAGCATTCAAACTTGCATACTTTTCATGTATCACATGATTAAAATACTAATTTATACCGTATTGGATGGACACTGCTTAACCTCAACAGCCTAGAAAAATCCTAACCTAAAAGTCATTTATACGAATCTGTTACAGCCCATTTGAACTTACCAATAAGGAAGCCCACCAACTTCATTTCCGTAATCAGGAATGATATTGCTACCATAAATATTTTCAGAGTACTTCATAACATGGACACTGTTTTATTTTAAAACAAAAGGTCACCCTTAATATGGGACGTTTATGGATTATAATAACGACAGACTACACAATAAAGATATCAAGAATGACTCCACAGCCTCAGAAGCACATTCCTTCACGTCTGCCAGGTCAAAATCACAATAATCAGAGGCATTAAAGACCACATGGAATAATCTTAGTACCGTATCTGGTCAGCTTTAAAGTCTCGTTAGAAAGGCATTGCACGGTTTTTTTGTTAAATCACAGATACAATGCATATTTCCATAATTGACAGTACTTCAGCAAATTAATGTGTAACATCCAAATGTCTGCAAGCAGTCCAAAGCTGATGAATTCAATTCGGATAATCAGCCACATTAATTCAAAGGAAAAGTCCAGTTTTTGGAGCCTGTCTCTGTAAAAAGTAAAGCAGTTTCGCTACACGTCATGTAAGTCGTTTGGGGGTGGGGGGAGGGGGTGGTGGTATAGCTCCTACTCATTCTTGACCT